TCTCTCCCACTGTGGTCCAGCCCTGCTTCTTCTCCACCTCTGGGTCGTTGTGCAGGATCTTGTTGCGCAGCCAGGAGAGATAGTAGACCCTCAGCTTGTTCTTCTTTCCTGAGAGCCAGGGGAAAGGAAAAGATGCCGACAGGGAGAGATGAGAGCATGAAGGGGAAAGGGGCAAGTGAAAGGCAAGAAGGGAGAGAATGGTTAAAATCATGGTCATAAAAATAACACTTCCCAATTATATAGCTCTTTTCTGGACACCCCACTCAGAGCGTTTCACAGGTAATGGGGATCCCCTCCACCACCTCCAGTGTGCAGCCCCACCTGGATGATGCTACAGCAGCCATAGTGCACCAGTACACCCACCACACACCAGCTCTCAGTGGGGAGGAGAGCAGAGAGATGAAGCCGGTTTACAGATGGGGATTATTAGGAGGCCATGACTGGTAAAGGCCAGGGGGAAATTGACCAGGACGCCAGGGTTACACCCCTACTCTTCTCAAGAAATGCCCTGGGACTTTTTTAAGCACACCTTACTGGTGCCACCAGCACCTCTTCCAGCAGCAGCCTTAGCTTTCCCAAGAGTCTTCCATCCAGGTACTGGGCAGGCTCACACCTGCTGAGCTCCAGTGGGCTGCCAGCTGGGAGCCGCAGGTCAATTTGTTGTCACGATGTTGTGACAATGCTAACATGATTTGTGGGACTGCAGGGTACAGCTGTGGCAGTCAGTTTTGAGCTGGAGTCAGAGGCAGTCAGCAGGAGGTTTACGGGTTGACTCGGTAGAGACGGCGGCAGGTGGCTGCTGTGTTCATTACCGGAGATGGTGATGAGCAGGTTCAGCCCCTCCAGGACGTCCATCTGCTGGAAGCGGCGACTGTTGATGAGGCCGTAGACCTTCCCCTGGCCGCTGCGGTCCAGCAGCTTCAGCCCGTTCTCCGTGCCCACCAGCAGATTGACCCCTGGCAGGAACACACGCGCTGTCAGGGCGCTGCCGACGGCTGGTGTGCTGGGCTAGCTACAGACACGCCCCCCCTCCCCCTGCCCCTCCTCCTCTGCCTCACCCCACAGAGCAGCACACAGGATCTCGGAGTTGAACCTCTTCTTGTACTTGCGGATCTCGGGGGTGTCGCTGTGGGGACGCGTGTTGGCGGGGTTCACGTTTACCACCGACCCCTTCCTGACCTCCAGCTTCAACTGCTCGAACCGGGAGCTCTCGCTGCCCACAAAGCCTGAAGAGACAAAAGCACAGGTTCGAACTGCAGCTGTCCAAAACACCGGGCTCGGTCTGTGACATTCAAAATCTCAAACAAGCCGTTTCACCCTTAACAGAGTCACACTTACACAGCCCTGATGACCCCAAATTCACCCGGCCTCTTTAAACAAAGAGAGAGCAGGTCTGCACAGGACTGGGAGCCACTGCCCCACAGACAGGCTGATTGGCATGGCATGGCAGAGCATAGACTCACCTGCCACAGAGATGGATTCTCCTGGCCCCCCCTGTGGTTGGTACATCCCAAGGTTAACAAAGGTCGTGAAGGAGGCCTTTCCTGGGGCCTTAACCAATCCACGGGACTGATACTGGAGCCAACCCAAAGAGAGGGGGAGAGTCAGAGAGACGGGTTCATAATACTGAGAAACAAACACTGAGGCAGAAAAGATAAGGAGGAAGAGACAGAGACAGGTTTATAATGCACAAATAACGCACTCAGACCAAGACAGAGACTCACCCACATTGTAGTGTGCAGAGGTAGGGAGAAAGAAACAGGTTAATAACACCCAGAGACACAAATAAACACTCAGACTGAGACACTGCAAGACTCACACACAGACAAGGAGGGAGAGAGAGTCAGAGACAGGTTTATAATACACACAGACACAAATACGCACTCAGACTGAGCTGCAACCTGACTCACGCACACAGAAAGAAGCAGAGAGAAACAGGTCGATATTCCAGTACAGTGTCTCACATCGTAAGCGCTGTCCTTGCCGGGAGAAGAGCCCTGACTGGTGGGGTCAGTGGGGGAGTGGGAAGGCTGCACAACATCTGGGAGGTTGGTGTAGCCATTGTGATTGCGCTTCTCCTCAGGGGTCTGTACAACACACAACACCACAGCCTTCACCACGCTGCGCACCACAGCCTTCACCACGCTGCGCACCACAGCCTTCACCACGCTGCGCACCACAGCCTTCACCACGCTGC